TGTCTGCCTCCGCGCACAAAAATGAGATGGGCATCACTGCCAACGCCGACGGCCAGAAAGGCCCGCGCATCTACATTTTCCCGCCTGACCCCATCAGTGCCGACCCAACTCCACCACCACACGCACGCCTCGCGGCGGATGCGCAGCAGCAAGAAGGTTTCGGTCATCCCTTGAGGGTGAGCCTAGCCCTGCTCGCCAGAAAGACCCCCACCTTCGCTACAACCTATGTCTAAGCAAAAGCTTGTCGAGGAGCGAGGGGAAGAAGGGAGAGTTCGTGCAGTAAAAAAACAAAACAAAAACGAAATAAGCCTGGGTTGTCCGAAAGGAGGGGGAGAAGATCCACAATAAAGGGACCGTAGGAAATGGCCTTTTGAGCAGTTTAGAAATACAACCTCGAAAAATTCAAAATGTAAGAACTTGGCCACGAGAAAACGTGCTCAGTTCCGACGTGGTATTAAGAACAAAAACACGAAATTGTGGTGTAACAATGCGCGTACAGAAAAGAACAGAGTCAGACCCCATAAACGGGGCAGCTGCAAGAACAGGACTCATCATGAAGGTGGCGAGGGGTGACTCACGGGGTGTCCGGTGACCCCACCAGCGGCAGTTTCAGATCAGCGGCGAGGAGGGGAACTCCGTTTCAAAGACCACTGGTGCGGAGGGGGAGGGAGGGGGGCGTACTCTTATGTTTTGCATATCTTAGCGGTTAGATCATTGACCACACGCGTCTTCGAGAGGACGAAGCATTGAGCATGGTTCCAACAGCACCAAGACTGATGGTCAATCATTCCTTCCAACTTTGCCAAAGATGTCTGAAAAATGCTTGCCCTGGCATAGACTATCTATCCTAAGGATATCACTTCCCGCCTCTTCAACCAACTCACGTTCTATGCCCAAGTACAGCTACCGTCTTATCCTGGTTATTCCGTGCCTCAAAAATCTCTCCGTATCTTCCTTCTACTTTTTTTTTCCAGCTAAGTCATGTACAATTTCTATCCTTCTTCTACAATAATAGTCATTCCCCAACTACATGAACCCGGTCTTCGCACTCGGAGCCTCGTTCACATTTTTACCTTGGTTGGTGCGGAGTGGAGGTGGGGTAGGTGCTAGGCTTTGTTGTACAAGGATACCCCTGTCGCGTGAAATTGGCGTGCCTGCCACGTTGCGTGCCATACACGAGAGCCAGCCATGTATTTGCCCCTTGAAACATTGAAGGAGCTCGGCCAACTGTCCAAGTTGAAAGGAAGATGTGCCATTCTTGATCGACACGTACTTCGAGGCCATCAATGAACATCATTGCTGGCGACTGCCCACGAAGTCCGATTGGGAGGCCATCGAGTTCGACGCAGAGGCGAAGAATGCTTACCGACACCAAATCCTTCGTCGCACCCACCGGTTGTCGAACTCAAGCGTCTAATCTTGCTGCTCTTGACAATTCGCTGCCGCAGCGTGGAGTACAGTACTCGTTAGACTGAGCACGAGCTGGTTAGGTGAACTGATCACTCGGCAGTCAGTCTCAGGAGCCTACCCGCCACCTTTACAACTACCGTGCGCATTTCGAGCCAGACCAAAGCACGCGCCGCATGAAATTAATTGCCGTTGGACAAGTACGGTGGAGATGCGGGTGCGGTGGTGGTAGAGTCGAGGGGTTTGCTTGAGGGGAGCGCCGTAGAGCAGGGAGGAGGTCCGGCCATCGAAGAGCGGGTGAAGGTCGCAGTGTAGCTACGACGGGCGTTAGTGGAGCGGGAGGACAATCACGCCAATCGTGACCCTTGTGGACCTCTCAATGGTTTAATGTTTGCCCAGATGCGTCAACATTTCAGGTGATGCCACGTCTATATTTCTACCCTATGGTGATCTCGGAAGCTGCGGTACGTCGGGTCGAGAGGTTTCTGTTGAGCGACATTTTATTATGCACTGTTTTATGAACACGCTGCTCTCAATCAAGTGTCAGCTTGAATCCACGCAGATTGAAAAACTCCGTGTCCTGGGGCCCTCGGCGTAGAAATAAGAACAAGAACCCCGTTTCTCATACAGATATTCCTGCTCGGAATTTAGAACTTTGAAAATACGAACAGGTGCTCAGTTTGAGGCAGCCAATAAGCATCGAGCCTCAGCCAAAATGAGCGGTTCTTAAGTGCGGGCGCCATCTGTATCCATCCGCGGACCGTCAACAAGAGGGGGCTCAAGTCTGTACTGCGAATGCTCAGTGGCCCTTGCCAAAGGCTATAGACTGGCGGTGGCACGTCCAGTGACCCCGGCTGTGAGTTTCTTTCGGAGTTCAGCAGCACGAACCGGGCTACAGACAATTAGGGCTACAGCGCGAGACATCTGTCTTGGCGGTTGATGGATTTCGTCTCTGGGCGGGCTGCTTACACAAGCAAGCGACCCTTTCGCTCATCATACAGTAGTCCCCGGTTCAGGCCTTCTCCGATTGTGATTATTCTGTGGCATTCGACCACGAAAATCGGCGGGCCAACGAGAACGTATGTAGTCTCAGCGGGATGCAAAACGTCACAACGTCCTTTAGACCTGCGGTGGAAGATAACGTATGTATCGCGCGGTCTCGTCTCACGACCGGAGACCCGCCGAGGTACTACTGTAGACACAATACACTGCTGTGTGTGCGTGTGACAGGCCGATATACCGCACTGCCAGGTTTCAGCATTATCCCCAACTCACATCACCAGTGCGTCAGCAAACAAGCACGCACACACACTGGGTTAACGTTCAAGTAAACCACAACAGCTCTCTCTGTCAGCATTATGTAGACTGTCATCTTCCTCCGCGATGAAAACCACAAGATTCGCTTCTCGACACAATCGTGTCTTGCTCCATCACCTGGCCGATAACGCCCAACAAATTACCGACCTGCACCAGCCCATGCTCGCCCACACGTCTATCTCTCAACAGTCGGGTAAGGCTCGATGCAAATGTCACGCCCTCCCCTCCCCCCGGCCCTACCACATCGCACATAATGCAGACCGCGTGATCTTGAAGATTCAGCTCATCAGGCCTGGCCGAAACGACTGCACGCGCACGATCCTGGGCAAACCCAACCAACTCTGACTGCTTCGTGCACCTCCCCCCCCCCCCCCCCCCCCCCCCCCCCCCCCCCCCCCCCCCCCCCCCCCCCCCCCCCCCCCCCCCCCCCCATAGGCCGCTTGAGAGTCCATGACCATGGCGATCGTAACGAATGCTGAGTACACAAAAACAACTCGGGAATACGCGAGGACCACGCGCTCGCGTGCGTCACACGAGCACAAAACCATCAACTCTCAAACAAGAAAATCCGCACTTTTCGCGGAGATGGGCCTATATCGCGTAGTTTGCTCCGAACGGGGCGCATGTCCCGCTGGACAGTGCATCCCAGCAGAGTTGTGGGGTCACTATTTGCTACTCTAGACCATTCGCTACACTAGTCTGGCCTGCCACAAGGATGGATACAAAACAACACGCCGCTCGCAAACGAGTAAACTATTATACTCCTACCATTATGGTCGTCCCGGCGAATCAGTTGATGTACCCTCCCAACTCAGACTCTCTATTTAGATTGCGGATTCGAAGCTCTCTTGCAGTGGAAAAAAATCGCAACATGCGCGCGGAAAGCGCACAGTAGTCGGGAGAAAACACTACATAAGGACAGAATCTGCTGACGCTTCTCGCGTTAAAAGTCGGAAGGCAAGATATGGCAAGGGGGAAGGTGGAGAGAAAAAAAAAAGTGTTAACTTCTTGTGTGGCCCCGCTGATGCGTCAAATATGTAACGAAAGGTGTAGTAGACCGACGCCCAGACTAGATGGGACGGCAAGGCAAAAGAACGAAAGAACCAAGCACACGCACGGACCTCGTTTTTTCTTGCTCGTGCTAGCATACAATTAACACTTAACGTAAAAATCAAAATCAGAAAACGTTGTAAAACATGGTCAGACACACGCTTATCACAATGCCTCAAGACACCATTCACCCTTTGGAGAGATATTTCTCCAAATACAAAACAACACACCGGAAAAAGACGTGTTCCACTGGATGGCCGCGAAAAGACCGCAGCAGTGCACCCCACAATCGACTGCGCCCTTTCCAAGATACCGGGAATCCATATTCCCCATCGCCCGCCCCCCTTGTCCCTCCGGCCGTAATTTCACAACCTCGTATATCCGACAACAGTTGTACATGGGAGCGACGAAAACTCGACCGTTTTGCCCTGTTCGACAAGCCTTGGCGTGGTTCCGCAGAGCAAGCGAACGCCATGGTCGAGCCTCCGCTTATCGCCGGCATGGGTGGCCGCAGTCGAAGCCGCCGCCGCCTCCGACGGGAGATCAATTCGCCGATGATGAGCCTAGTCTGGAGTTCGCCTTTCGTCGGGGTGTGTGTGCGACGAGGGGAGGGCGGTGAAGAGAACGGCGGTGGGACTCGAGTTTGAGAGTCCAGGCACAAGGCCATGGACGCGCCGCACACCCACACCCACAACGCCGAGCGAGGCAAAGCAAAAGAGTGCACAAGAGAGGCGAGACGCCCAACAACGACGGCAAAAACAAAAAATGAAAAAATTCACTTAACCACCAATAAGAATTACCTCCGTTGTTTGTTCCGCGGGGTCCGCCCGCTCCTCCTCCGCCGCCGCCACGGCCGCGGACGCGCACGTCGCCAACGGTGGGCACGCAGACGTCGCCGCGTCGCAGTCGTCTCCCTGCTCCACCAGCGAGCACTTGTCCTTGCTGCCCTCGCACGGGCTGGGGTCGCACACGTCGGCGCAGTAATACTCGGCGAAGGCGCCGTTAGCGTAAACGCGACAGTCCTGTTTTGTTTTTCGTTGTTGGCCATGACAGCCAAGTCGAAGCGGTCAGAGAACAAGGAGAGGCGCCAAGAAATGAAGTATTCAAGTTTTCTTGTCCCGCGACGAGACTGGCGTTTCTTCATGAGCCGGCCGCTTGTAGCGCACTCGATGCTGATGATAAAAAGAACCACAGACTAAACGCTGACGTCTATCTCATTGGTCAGCCGGTTTGCGCGGTCGACACCAGGAACAAACAGGACACACACACACACATACCTGAAACTCTCCGCAGGGGGCGCACGGATCTTCTTCCTGCAGGGTTGCGTTTGCGGCAGGGGCGCAGAGGAACCCGTTCCCGCAGATGGACCCGGCCGCGCAGCTCTCGGGCGTGAGGTGGCACTGCTCGCCCTCCTCGCACGGCGAAGGGTCGCATACGGCGGAGCAGTAGTGCTGGTCCTCAGCGAGATCGCCGGTGTAGAATAGACACTCCTGTGGCATACGCACAGGCAATGGAGGTGGGTCCCAGGCAACACGAGGCAGGGAAAGACGGGCTGTGAGGCGTCTGTCGTCCATTACATGTTGGGGGCGAGTTTTCGGGAACGGCCCCGCCACCTAAGGGGGGGCGGGGGGGGGGGCGGGAGA